GTCACCAATGGCCAGAAACTCAAATGGACTCACCACATAAACAGTGGTTACAAGAGCAATTCAGAGGCTAAGAATGTTGCGGTGGTTACCTCACCTGCTGACTCCCCAAAAGCCTGTCCATCATTTACAAGGCACAAGTCAGGAGTGTGATGGAATACTCCACACTTGCCTGGATGGATGCAGCTCCAACAACATTCATGTAGCTTGACATCATCTAGGTCAAAGCAGCCCATTTGATTAGCATACGTCCACAAAGATCCACTCCCCACACCACTGACACTCGTTAGCAGCAATGTGTGTACTATCAACAAGATACACGGCAGAAATTCACCAAAGATCCATAGACAGCACCTTTCAAACCCACAACCACTTCCATATAGAAGGACAAGGGTAGCAGATACATGGGAACACCACCACCTACAAGTTCCTTTTCAAGCCATTCACCATCTGACTTGGAAATATATCACCATCTCTCCATTGTCGCTAGGTCAAAAATCCTGGAATTCCCTCCTTAATGTCATTGTGGACTGCAGGGTTCAAGAAGGCAGCTTATCACCACCTTCTCAAGGGCATCTAAGAATGGGCAATAAATGCTGGGCAGCTAGAAACACCCAAGTCCCATGAATGAATAAAAAGAAGACTGCTCTTAAGCTGCCACACTCAAACCCTTGAGAGGACACTGCCTCAGGCTGGCACCTACAGAAATTAAACTGCAGATTTCAGTTTAATGTCAGCTACCAGTTACAAACTAAATTAGATTTGTACAAAATAATATAGAGTACTAACTTACTCAAAAACTGCAAGCATGCAGTCCTAAAATACCAAGTAGTAAGTGAGCATGGCTGAAAAATTGGTATGGGAGAAGTGGATTCTGGTTTGTGGAGCACAGGCACAAAAGGAGCATCTGTACTGTTGGGACAGTCTACATCTACACTGTGCTGGGTGTTGCACTCTTGCCAACTGCATAACTAGGGAACTAGAGAATATTTTATACTGAATAACAGAGGCAAGGGATCAAGTTTGTAAAGCTTTTGTTGGAATAAACGTCAAGTAAAGGCTGAGAGAAAGGTGTTAATATGGGAAATTGTAAACAGGCCATGACAGAAAGGGATAGAAAGTACAAAGCAAAGAATCAATCATAAGATAAGACAAGAAGTTACAAGAAGAGAGCAGAGTGATAAAACAAAAAGCGCTGAATCTAAAAGGGTCAGGCAGCATCCGTGGAATGACAGCAAGCTACACATCGAATCTAGATGACTCTTCAGCTGACATCAGCTCTAATGAAATGTCATCTGGACTTGAAACGTTAGCTTGCTCTCTCTCCGTGGACGCTGCTTGATCCACTGTGATCTCTAGCATTTGTTGTTTACAGTACACATTCCAGCATCTGCAGTACTTTGCTCTGAGGCTCTGTAACTATATGCAATGAGCATTCAGAACAAAACAGTTAAACTGAGAACACAAACAAAAATAAATAAGTATGATCTGGTAGCTATTAAAGACATGCTCGAAGAATGACACTGATTTGGACGTGAATCTTAAATCATCCAGAACATTTAGGAAGGACAGGGAACTAAGGAAAGGTCGAGGGGTGCCTCTCATTAGTTAATGATGATAAGAGAAGGATGGCCTAACTTCAGGAAACTAAGATGTGGAATCAGTTTGGGTAGAAATGAGAAATGATAAAGGCAAAAATTCACTTGTGAGAGTTGTGTACAACACCCCCAACAGTAATGCTCGCAAAGGTGGGACACAACTGAAAAGATAATGAGAGCTTGTCAGAGAGGCACAGCAATAAACATGCAAGATTTTAATCTACTTATTAACTGAAAAAGACAGATGGGCAAAGATAACCTAGATGAGGAGTTCATAGAACTTTCTTGGGAGAATTTCTCAGAAGTGCATGTTCTGGAGCCAACTGGAGAACAAGCTACACTAGACCTGGTATCAGGCAACAAGATAGGATTAATTATCTCTTCATTGTAAAAGCAGCCTTAGGTTGCAGCAAACTTAAAATGATTGGATTTTACATTCAGTTTGAGGTAGGGAGGAGTAGGTTCGAAGTTATTTTTTTAAACTTAAATAACATGAACTATAGGGGTATGGAAGCAAAGCTAATTGAAATGAATCAACAAATTAGGTAGAAGAATAGGTCAACAGAGACCCAGTAGGAGACATTACGGGATATTTCAGAACACTCAGAATAAATATTCAAATATATAAGAAAAATTCCAAAGGAAGGACACATTATCCTTAGTTAACTAGAAATATAGATAGTATTAAAGTAAAAAAAAAGTACAAAGATCGATAGCAGGTCAGAAAATTGAACAGAATATAAGAAACTGCAAAGAATGAACAAAAAAAATTAATAAAGAATGAAATATTACAGCATGAGAGAAAGCTAGCTAAAAATATAAAAACATAATATTATTTTCCATAAATGTTGAAAGGAGAAAATAAATTAACAAATTGTGCATAGCCCCATAGAAAGTGAGAATGGAGAAAAACTAATGAAGAACAAGAAAATGGCAAGTGAATTAAACATTTAAATAACATCCAACAAGCAGCAATAAACCAGGAAATGGAAGAGAACCTAGGAAAATCACAATCAGCAGAGAAGTGATACTGAGTAAATTCCTGATCTTAAGGTCCTGGCTTGTGAGATAGTTGATGTGTTGATTTTAATTTTCCAAACCTCCTTCGATTTGAAGAAGGTTGCATTAGGTTGGAAGATAGCAAATGTAGCTCCTATATTTAAAAAGAGAGGGAGACAGAAAGCAAGAAACAACAGGCAAGTCATCTTAACATCTGTTACAGGGAAAATGTCAGAAACTATTACTTAAAAAGTTTTAGCAGGCATTTGGATAGATTCAAAGATAGATTCAAATCATGCTTGACAACCCAAATGGAATTCTCTGAGGAGTTAGCACATACTGCGCATAAAGGTGATGATTTCTAGAAGGCATTTGATAAGGTGTCACGTCAAAGGTTATTGCAGAATATAAAAGCTCATGGTATAAGGGGTAATATATTGACATGGATAGAAGATTGGCTGACTAACAGGAAAGAGACAGTAGGCATAAATGGGTCTTTTTCAGGTGGCAAAATGTAACAAATGCTGGGACATCAACTGTTTACAATTTATATAACTGACTTAGATGAAATGCCAGGAGGTATGGTTGTCAAATTTGCTAATAATACAAAGCTAGGTAGGAATGTAAGGTTTAAAGAGATACATGGAGGTTACAAGGAGATATTGATAGGTTAATTGAGAAGGAAAAGATGTGACAAATGGAGTAAAATGTGGAAAAATGTAAAATGTCCAAATTAGCAGGAAGAATAAAAAAAGATTTGTATTATCCAAATGCTGAGAGGTTGGAGAGCTCAGATATGCAAAGAGAGCTGAATGTCTTCATGCAATGTTTCAAAATTTGCTGATGATAAAAAAATAGATGGGGGGGCATATTGTGATGAGGACATAAGGAATATGCAGAAGGAATATTGATACATTGCGTAAGTGGCTAACAATTTGATTGATGGCAATGTGCGGTCATTTTATTTCTTGGAATGTGGGCGTCGCTGGCTAGGCACACACTAATTAGCCATTGTAATAGCCCAGAGGGAAGTTAAGAGACAATTACGTTAATGTGGGCCTGGAGTCACATGTAAGCTGACCAGCGAAGGTGGCAGATTTCTTTCCCCAAAGGACAGTAGTGAACTGGATGGGTTTTTACAATGGGTTACACAGTAGTCATTTGGTTACCTTATAATTCCAGATTTTTATGAATTCAAATTTCACCATCTGCCATGGTGGGATTCGTACCTGTGTTCCCAGGTCATTAGCCTAGTGTTCTGAATTACTAGCGCAAAGACATTAACACTACCTTCCTCAAATGCAATTTGATAGGAAGAATCAAAAGGCAGCTTATAATTTAAAGAAAGTGAGACTCCAACAAGTGCAGCACAAGGAGATCTGACTGTTTTGTGCATGAAACACTAAAACTAAGAATGTAAACACAGCACGTGATTAAAAAGGCAAATGGAATTTTGGCCTTAATTGCTGGTGGTTGGAGTTTAAATGTATGAAAATCTTGTTACAACTGTACAGAGTGTTGGGGCTGGTGAGGCCACACTTGGAATACTGTGTACAATGTTGGTCTCTACATTTAAGAAAGGGCGTACTGGCATCAGAAGCAATTGAAAGAAATTCGGTAGGCTGATTCCTGGGATGAAGGGGTTGACATCAAGGACAGCTAAACAGGTTCGGCCATTATTTATTAAGAGTTTAGAAGAATGAAGAGTGATTTTTTTGAAATATACAAGTTTCTCAGGGGGCCTAGCAGATGCTTTCTGTAGTAGTGGAATCTCAAACTATGGGATATAGTTGTAGAATAAGGGACAGTCATTTAAAACAGATGCAAAGGAATTACTTCTGAAATTTTCTACCTCAGAGAGTTGTGGAGGCTAGATCACAAAGTATTTGAAGAGGAGATTGATGGATTTTTGAAAAAGTGAGACGTTTATGGCAATGAGGAGCTGGCATGAGAAAGGAGTTGAGGCCTATAGCAGATAAGTCATATCCTGATAGAATGGCAGGGAGGGCTTCAGGGGCTGAATGGTCTACTCCACTCTGATTTCTTAAGTTCTTACATCCACTAGAGCAGGCTTTATTTACCATCTCACCTGATAGATAGCACCTTTGAAAGTGCTGTGCTTTCTCAGTACAGCGTTTGAGAGTCTGCCTTTATTACCATGTTCAAGTATTGAATGGGACTTGAAATTAGAACCTTGATCAATAACTCAGGAGCGAGAGCGGTACCAACTGAGCCACAACCGACAGCCACACTTTTATGCAATTATTTCCAGTTGACATAGTTTGGCATTCTTTGGAGAAACATATTTTACAAAAACACACATTTTGATAAAAATTTAATCAATTATTTCTAATTTGCAACAACCACCAAATCACAATAGTATATACAATAGTATAAACCAAATACCTTTGGAATGAAATTGTGGTGCAGCAACTTTTGTTTCAGTTTTCACTGTTCTCAGCCATTGATTTCTTTGCGTTTTCTTTTCTCGAGAACATGCCTAAATAAATACAAGCAACAACGAACATGAGAGTTCTGAACAACATGCAAAAAACAGAATAGACAAAGAGAGTTCCATACTCTTTAACTAAATTCCTATATAAGTGGAAATTTATTTGGCAGTTGTTTTCATTTTAAAGGCAGACTTGGGAGACTTTGATTTTGATATTGGGGACTGCACAATCACTTACCTGGAATTTTGTGATTTAATTAATAATGGCCAGGAGACTGAAGCATTGTCAAATTAACAATAATGTGCACTAATTAAATTCTCATGCCATTACATGTGAAAAGTCGAGATCAAGTATAAATTTTGGGTGAATTTGGGTAGTAGGTGGGTAATAACTGGGTAAGAATACGCATAGTCAAAGACATCTGTAACACAGAAAAAGGCATTTTGGCCCATCCAGTCTGCGCCAGTCAAAATCAGTCACCTAACTATTCTAATCCCATTTTCAGGCACTGGATACACAGCCTTACATGCCTTGGCATCACAAGAATACATGTAAATACTTCTTAAATGTTATGAGTATTGTGGTCTCTTATTGTCAATGAGCTCCAGAATCTCAATTCCCTATGAGAGAAAAACATTTTCCTCACATCCAGTCTAAACTTCCTGCCCCTTACATAAATCAATGCTACCTGGTTACTGATCCCTCCAGTGAGGGAATAAGCTTTTTTTCCCTGTCTACCCTGTCTATACACCTCATAATTATACATCTCAATCATGACCCCCTCAGTCTCCTCTGTTCCAAGAAAAACAACCCAAGTATGTCCAATCTCTCTTCATATCTAAAACTCTCTAGCCCAGGCAATAACCTGGTAAATCCCCTCTGCACCCTGTCCAGTGCAATCATATCTCTCCCCATAATGTGAATTTCAGAACTGCACACAATCTCTATGCCTCAGCTAATAAAGGCAAGTATCCTATATACCTTATTGACCACTTTATCTAGCTGTGCTGCTACCTTAAGAGACTGGTGGGTATGCACACTAATGTCCCTCTGATCCTCTCATGGTCCTACCATTCATCATGTATTCCCTTACATGTTTGTCCTGCCAAGTGTGCCATCTCACACTTATCTTTACTGAATTCCATTTCCACTGATCAGCCGATCTGATCAGTAATCTATATTCTCCTGTAATCTAAGGCTATGATCCTCACTATTTACCCCCCCACCAATCTTTGTATCACTCACAAACTTACTGATCAGTTCTCTTATATTCAATTCTAAATTGTTTATATATATGACAGCAAGGGCCCCAAAATTGATCCCTGTCAAAGCCCACTGGACACAGGTTTCCAGTCACAAAAACATCCCTCCACCATCATCCTCTGCATCCTGCCGCTTTGCCGATTCTGTGTCCAGTTACCCAAATTTCCTTCGATCCCAAGGACTCTCACCATCACTATCAGTCTCCCAAGCAGGACTTTATCAAAAATCTTACTGAAGTCCAAGTAGACTATGTCAAATGCATTGCACTCATCCACATACCTGGTCACCTGTTTGAAAAATTCAACCCAGTTGATAGATATGGTTCTGAGGGTTCTGAGGAAAGGTCACTGGACCCAAAATATTAATTCTGATTTTCTCTTCACAGATATTGCAAGACCTGCTGAGCTTCTCCAGCAATTTCTGTTATCATTTCTGATAGACGTGACTTCCCCATAACAAAACCATGCTGACTGTTCTTAATTAATCCCTGCCTCTCCACATGCAGATTAATACTGTCCCTCAAATTACTTTAAATGTTTTCCTCACCACTGAGGAAACTAACTGGCCTGTAGTTTCCTGGTTTATCCCTTGCTCGCTTCTTAAATAACAGTATCATATTGGCTGCCTTCAAATCCTCTGGGCTCTCTCACGGCCAAAGAGGAACTAAAAATTATTGGCAGTGTCCCTGCTGTTTTCTCCCTTGCCTCACTTAACAGCTTGGGATACAGTTCATCCAGCTCTGGAGCTTTATCTACTTTTAAGCCTATCAGACCACTCAGAACCTCTTATCTATGCTAATTTCTTCAAGTAAATCACAATACTTCTCCCTGATTTCTGTCTTCACATCATCCCTCTTATTAGTGAACACCAATAAAAAATACTGCAATAAAAAGCTCTTCTGGATGTATTTTAAGAATTCTACTTCCTCTAAACCTTTCACACTCTGACGACCCAGTTGGAGAAGTTGAAATCTCCTACTATCACTACGCTATAACTTCTACACTTCTTTGAAATTTGCCTACATATCTCCTCTTCCATTTCTCTCAAACTGTTAAGGGGCCTTAATTCCCAGCATTGTGATTGCTCGCCTTTGCTTTTTAAATTCCACCCATGCTTCATTTGAGAAGTCTTCTAAGATGCCATCCCTCCTTACTGCTGTAATTGATTCCCTGATCAATAATGCAACACCCCCTCCTCTTCTCCCTCCTTCCTTGTCTCACCTGAAGACCGTGTCCTGGAATATTGAGCTGCCAATCCTGCTCCTTTTTCAAATATGTCTCAGTGACAGCAATGAGATCATACCACCATGTTTTAACTTGTGCTCTCAACTCACCTGCCTTGTTCATCAGACTCCCTGCATTAAAATAAATACCATTCAATGGTGTCAAAATCCCTTGTGCCTTTACTGGCCTATAATTTCTATGTCTTCATGGCTCATTTGCTGTTTCTTCCAACTTTGGCTGTACATGTCTCCCTGATGAACATTTTCCCCAGATCCCATAACCCTGCAAAGTTAGTTTAAACGTTCCCCAATAGCACTGGCAAACCACTCCACAAAGATGCTGGTTCCATTCAGGTTCAAGGGAAACCTGTCTGCCTTTTACAGGTCCTCCAACTTCAAACACCATTCTAACATTCCAGAAATCTGAAGCTCTCCCTCCCGCACCATCTCTCTACCACGCATTCATCTGGACTAACCTCCTATTTCTATACTTATTTGCACATAGCACTGTAAGTATACCAGGGATTACTACCCTTTGGGTCCTGTTTGTTAATTTACTTCCTAGCTCCCTAAATTCTGCTTGCAGGACCTCATCCCTTTATCTAACTATGTCACTGGTACCAAAATGTACCACAATCTCTGTCAGTCTGTTTGCCCTCCCCAACAGAGTGCCCTGCAGCTGTTCAGTAATATCCCCGATCCTGGCACCCAGAAGAAAACATCCCATATTGGAATCTCTTTTGTGGAGCAGAAACACCAGCTTTCCCCTTACAATTGAATTTCCTAACTCTATAGCCCTGCTGTTCTTCTTCCTCCCATCTTGTGCAGCAGTCCCATCCATGCTGTCATGAAGTTGGCTCCTAGTGCTTTCCTCTCCCTAGTCACCTCCCCCAACAGAATCCAAATGGTCTATCTGTTGGAAAGGAGGATGGCCACTGGGGACTCCTGCACTACCTGCCCTCCTCTACTCTGTCTGGCGGTCACCCATGCCTTTTCTGCTTGTTCAGTCTTCACCTGTGGTGTGACTATCACACTGAATATGCTATCCATGACATTTGCAGTATCATGGATGCTCCACAGTGAATTCATCCACAGTACCAGCTCCAAAATGCGGTTAGTCAGCAGCTGCAGCTGGACACACTTCATGTGCATGTGGCCACCGGGGACATCTAAACCTTCCATGATTTGCCACATAGAATAAGAGCAGCATTTCACAATATACACTCTGCTATGACTTCCCTTAAGTCTCTTCTTTATTCTCTTTATTTAAAAATAATTATGCTTATGTAAGAAAACTATTACTTACCTACTCTAATTGTACATCCCTTACCCTAATTTTCTCACTTATACTTACTTTTATTATATTAGCCCTGAATTTCACCTATTCATGTTGCTTCCAAAAAAAAAACTTTATAAAATCCCTGTGGTTTGATCAGCTCATTTAGTTGGACAGATGATATCCAATGCAGAGTAACACCAACAGTTTGGGTTCAATTCATGCATGGCTGAGGTTACTATGAAGGATTCTCATTCTCACCTTCTCCCCTTGCCTGAGGTGTGGTGACCCTCTGGTTAAACTACCACCAGTCATCTCTGTCTAATGAGAGAACAGCTCTACGGTCTGGCAGCACTGTGCTGACTTTACCTTTATACTTTTTAAAATCCCAAACCAATCAACACACTACTTTCCTGTGACGTCACGGACTGATTTGTTTTATTCAGTTGGCAACTCCACTGTCTCTGCTGGGTCCCAATCCTGGACTTCAGTTTATCTTGTTGCTAACTCCCCTCTATCTGCTGGAGCCCAATTCTGGGCCTCAATATATCCTGTTGATGACTCCAACGTCTCTGCTCAGTTGAAGTTGAAGTGTTGGACCCCTGATCCTAGGCCTCAATTTATCCTGTTGTTGACTCCCTCTCTCTGCTCAGTTGAACCTGAAGATCCAGATTCAATTCCCATTTTAATTAAAATTCTATAGGAAGCCTATAGGCTGCAGGGGTATATACATACACCAAGTGAGTGACAAAAAGCAAAAAATGGAGTATAATGTTGCAAGTGTGAGGTTATTCATTTTGGCCTGATGAATAAAAAAGCAAATTTTCTTTACAAGGCATGAAAACTCATAAATGTGAATGTTCAGATGGTATTAGGTATGAACACAAAGCGACAAGGCAAGTTAACACACAGTACAATAAGCATTTAGGAAGGAAAATGGCATGTTGGCTTTTATTCCATGGATTGGATACAGAAATTCCTACAATTGCACAAGAATACAGAATATATCATTACAATTGCACACGGCATGGTGAGACTACATCTGAATTACTCTGAGCAGTTTTGGTCTCTGTACTTAAGGAGAAACATTCTTACTTTGGCAGGACAGCAATGGTTCACTAGATTAGTTCTTGGAATGAAAGCATTGTCCGATGATGAAGCAGAGAAAATTGGGTCTATATTCAAACAGGTTTTATAAGAATGATAGATGATCCGTTTGTAATATTCTGAAGGGGCTTGGCAGGGTAGGCACAGAAGTTGCTCCCCTTGCTGGGGAATCTAGAACACATGTTAGAATAAGGGATTGATTGCTTTGGACTGC